GAGAAAGTAGAATCAGAACTGACTTTCGGTCCCAAGCGCAGTATATCCATACCAATACTCGTAAGTGATGAAATGTCTGAATTTCCTACCTGTGTATATGATTACGAACAATATAAGAAGCCAATATCTATCCACACATTTTCCTAGTTTGTCTTAAGGCACGCGGATTCGACACGACTACTTAATTGAGCAGACTCTAGTACAACTGGAGCTTTCGATCCGTCTATTGGATAAATCGATATTTATCTGTGTCTCATATGAGGAACTAGAATTATGTTTCTCCTCACATGGTGTCTTTTAGCTAGTATGGTTGATTTTGACTATGTGAAATGGCACTGATTTCTTTCTTTTAACGTAAATCATCATCAAATCAAATCATTTAAGGGTCAATTCAGGTGGTGGAAATTTCACGATATATTGACTCAAGAGGAAGATGCAGGATACCGACATATTGCAATAAAAACCCTGCACAGTACAACTTCATTAATATTAGTTCACATAAATAATAAAATTGAAAGAAAACATTAAAATATTAATTTCGTCAGGGAAAGACATTTCCTATTTATACATAACCATATTTTCTCTTTAACTCCAAGAGGACAATTCAATCAACCTTTCTTTTAAATAAGCCTAAATTCCACCAAATTTAAATCAAATTTCACTTAAGTTAAAGGAGTGAATTTGTAATAGTGCATTTGGCAAGTTGTTAAAGTACATCTAAGGAATAAGTGATGAAGGTCACTGTTATTGCCTGTGCGTTATTTGAGCGCCTAATTTAGAAACTGTCTAATAATAATAAGTGAAATTGCCAATGAAAGTGGCACAACATTTGCTCTTTGTTTAAACAAAAGAGATAAAGATTAAAATTTGCTTGAAAATAAATTATTCAATTCATTTTGCCTAGTAGTGAGTTATTTCTCATTAAAGCAACTGAACAATGACTTTTATTCATAAAAGGCAACCATTATAAATTCTCACATTAAAGAAGAAAAAATGTGATGGAATTTTATTGCTTCAAATTAAAGATCCTAAAACCTGTTAGATAAGCATCAAATCAATTAAGACATAATAATCTTTATTATTAACAAAAAAAGGCATTCTGATAAAAAGAATCGAGACAAAGATAAACACACCACAGAGGTAAATATTAATCGATTATTTAGACATTTAATAAATTACAAATACATTGACTTAAAGAATAATTGCATTATCTTTTAATCTAGACAACATCAAATCGCGAACCATGTCTAAGGTGATAGAGTCGGGAAGACACCATAATAGCTTGATTATAGGCGTAATTTAACTTCCTTAAACGCATAGGAAGTTCCGAAAGTGTTGAGATGATTTCTCCAACATACATATTCGACAGAGGCGTAACTCGGAGGAGAACCTCTACAATCTCTCAAATAACCCGTTTAAATCTATTGAGTTGGTTATTCAGTTCACTAAAGTGGTTACAGTAAGAAGCATCCACCCCCCTAACTTCAGATTCGCCAGTTGATCATTCAGCTTCCTGAAGGCAATCAGATAGGCATATAAATGCTTAATACAAATCATTAAAAATGTCACCCATCATCTCACTAAGGGTTCGCAGTCAGAAGTTAAAATTAAAATTTGGTGCATATGTCAACGAAATATTTTTCAGAGCTTCTGCCTCACAGATATCTTTACAATTTCACCTACCTTTGCCCGTATTCTCCTAAAACAACAATTTTTAACTTTAAAACACCCTAGAAACTTGTAGCTGAAACATATTTCACAGGACCATATGGCCAAAATCTTCCAAAATTATTAACTAATGAGCGAGTACTACAAATGATTTGTGGAACAAGGTACTCCCCAACAGATAGCAATTACCCAATGAAAAATTTGACTTTGTTTGACTTTATAGTTTAATAAACTTATACTAATCAACTGCCTTTGGATAAAATAACCAAAAGCTGCTGGTCTTTTCACCATTTAATTGGAGTGACCTGAATTCTTGGAATTGACGGGAATTTTGGCGTACCGACAAGACGGACACACATCAAGATGGGTAATCCATCACTTCAAATGATTGGAGCATCAGATTTAAACATATTGAAAATATTAAATAAACTCCACCTCTTCATCATTTGTTTGAATAGCATTTTTCTCCATTGTTTTCAGAAGGTTTGCGGTTATTAAAAAAAGCTATCTCCTGCTTATCGAAATTTTCAACCCAACCTCTAGATCGTTTAAAACCACCCAGATGCCCATTTAGATTTGCACAACAGTTATAACAGATTGCAATTATACATGATTTCACAGTTATTTTCACAAAAGTAACATCGAAAGCAAGGTTCTATGACCGAATGAGAGATTTATAGGCCAAAAAGGAATTCCCCTCTCGATGATGTAATCCGGATGTGATGGTTTAGACAAAAAAGACGACAATAAGAGCAATAGAGATCGTAAATCAAAAAGTACGAACGAATCTCGTACGTCAACTCCTGCTTGTGGGTTTATAATTAGAAGATATCTAGGAAGCAGACTACAATTTACACAATGGTAAATAAACGAAGAGTATGCCTGCCGAGAACGAATTGACGGTAGTTTGCGGTGATTAGGTAATCTTAGGTGAAACATAATGTCAACCTAAATACTGGTGGATCAAATAAGATATGTTTAATAGACTCTCCATAAAAGGCGGTACAATTACCGGGGTTTTCCGAAAGTTCTGGTGGTTATTTGGTTCCAAAAATAGTTTCATGCAATGGAAATAAAAGCCTGGTTTTATGATAAATGGAGTATGAAGATTGAAAAGTCGCAGAAGAGCAAATGAAAGCCGGTGCTTTTAATGACTAACGTTCCCATTCAATCCTATTATATAACCTCAATATACTAATAATTACCCAAACACATTTAAGAACGCTTCTACAAATATTCACTTGGAGTAGAGAGTGGCATGAGGAACCCTTGCTGATGACAAACTCGAATCCTGCCACCCTCCATATCAGTCAGACTAGACTATTGACCATTTTACTCGCTTGAGGAGCACTGATGGAAATCGAATCCGTGACTTGAAACGCGATGTCACATAGCGAGATGTTCAAGAGCAGCTATTAATGACTAAGAAAGGGTTTATTGCACGGCTGCTACGTTTTCATTAATCAAGCACATAAAGGATTACTATCAAATTATTATTAGTAGCAATATATAATTACTCTAGATTAGAATACACCAATTCAATCATGAAGATGAGAGAGATGTTAGCGACAGACCACGCATATACTTCATCTCAACGTTTATCAAAATAATTAAGTGAATAACTTGATGAAAAATCTCACTCTTTTCAAAAGAACTGCATTAAGAGTAGAAGGTAAATAATTAGTACTTTTCCGAACTCCGGTCGCATCCCTCCATCTCCAAGTGCATAATATTCACCTTTTAATATGAATCACTTTCTCTCCTTTTAACCGATTTTTCCTTCGCAATTTAAATTATCGATCGACCAAGAACCAAAATTGCCAATTACTGTTAGTTTGGAAAAATAAACTAAATTTTGATTGGTATCATCACTTAAAATGCAAAAATGTCCTGTCTGCCCATAGCCACGAAATAATTTCGAAGAAAAATAATAAAAAAATAGTACGTGCGGAAGTCCAAGTCACATGAACTTTAGAAAAGGTTTTACGAAGTATCTACTTTGAAAAAAAAACATTGAAGCTGATATCCGTCCAAATTTGCATTGAACCCAAAAACAAAAAGCAGACGCACTTCAAGCGTTTGAGATAATTTGAATGATCAACCTGTTTGGACTAAAAGTTAGAAAACTATCAGAAATTCTGGCTTTATTAGATAAGCGAATACAAATAAAATAAGCAAGTCCGCGATAAGCTGGGATCACATTCGAGAGTATGTATTACCAATAACCAATCAGAGAAAAGCGTTAAGCATCAATCACCCACATCATTAAAATGTTAGGAATTATTTACTCAATTATTAAAAAGTTATAATCAAGGTGTCATAAAGAGAGAGGTTGGTGGCAATAGTGTTAGGATTAGTATTTTTTATGCTTATTCTTCTTGTTCTTTTTCTTCCATGAACCAGATGATGACGATGACGATGATGACGACGAAGATGAAGAAGACGACGAACGACTTCTCCAACCCCTACCAACGTCGTTCGAACCTAATATGTGATTGGTCAAATTTAAAATGCATTAATTTTTAGCACATCCGATTGGTCATCTTTAGCGTCTTATAATCGCATGATAACCGGTTAGGATTAGTCAGGCGAGAAAAGTATACGCATTAAAATCAATTTTCAATAAATCATAATAGAAATCCATTCTGTGCAAAATCAATATTTTCAATTCTGTGAGGGTCTTAAGAAGTCATTAAAGAATTCTACAAAATGCCTTATACATCCCTTTACTTTACTTCCATTAATAAAATTGTGTTGTTTACTATTAACGCTAGCAAACTAAGACCTTGTATAGTATTTTAGATCAATTTTAGTTACCTCCTTTGGCATTAATTCACAAGGTCAACATGATCACATGTTGAAAACATATGGTAATATAATAAAAAACCCAAGCCAAACACAAATGTTATCCCAAGCGAAGCTAGGTTGTGACTAACATGAATAGTTACATAACAAAGCGATGATAAGTAACACCTAAGTCCTGAAGTGAAAAATGATCAATTTAATCGTTATGCAACTACAAAACAAACTTTTCATTAAATAGCATGAATGAACATTTAGCTCACTTACGCTGGCCTTAATCAGTCTACTGTACTCTATCTTTGCAATATCCCTCCCCCCCAATAAACATAATTTTGCCATTAAATTAAAATAAGGACATAAATCGCTGTTCTCGAAAAAATAATTATCGAAATTCAGGCTAATTTAGGATCGTTTTTTTTCAAGTTTCCCCGTCTTTCCACGCAAATACTGTGTTGAAAATTCCACAGCTCATTGTCTACTTTTAGCGCACTGCATTTGCATACTAACAGAAAATCGCTGACCCAATGAATTTAACACAGTAGAAAGCCAATCAAGTCCATAAACAACAAAGTGAACATGAACAAACACCCATATAACCATAACTCAAACTTACCCAAAGCTGCTTTCTTCCACTTCTTCTTCTTAGGCTTTCCGTTCTTGTAGACAATGGTATAGGGCTTTCCCTTCTTGTCATACATCACATTCTGACCTTGTTGACCAGGCGCCATTGGCTGATGGCCACCAGGATATTGCTGGCCCCCTGGATAGCAACCGCCAGCAACGCCACCCGGATAACTAGGCCCAGGCTGAACTCCTGGAGGTGGGTAAGCATTAGGTGGTTGTGGATAGGCTCCATAAGAAGCACCAGAGGGTACTGGTTGCATTGGAACTCCTCCGTAGGGAGCTCCCATGGGTTGGGGTTGCATGGGTGGATAGCCTGCAGGTTGGCTTGGCCCAGGATAAACTATAATCAATAATGTACAACAAACATGCAGTTTCAAAAATGTGAAGGCAATAAACCTGAGACAATTAAAATTGAATAGATATATACGTTTGTTTCATTTCCATCTCATTTAACATGGGATGAATATTTTTGCCTTTCAGTAGCTGACATTTCAGACCTAACATGGGAGGTAAAATCCAAAGAATACTAGGATACAAATTCGGGATGTGACGGACTTAAAACCATCAATACACTTGCTTTTTGCTTTAAAATGCACAGTAATAGGTACCTGACCATAAAGACCTCCTCGCATTCATGCACCAATCACAAGCTACGACACGAATGGGACCAATGAAGGTGACCGAGGAACAGCCAATGACACAGGCGTCAGCCTACGAAGAGTATAAGATCCGGGTGACCGCAAAATATGCAAGAAGCCTGCATTTGGGTGTTTACCAACGTTCGCCCTGTTTTCCTGATCACTATCCCTCCCTGCCCGTATAAAAAAATCAGCAACATTAAACCATCTCTTTCCATCCATGCACCACTTATTGAAGAAAGCTGCAATAATCCCAAATGCACTAATAGACCGAATCCTATTGCGTCTTACAATATCTACGAGAACAGGAACTACGAATATAAGAACTTCTGAGTATTTTAATGTTTGAACAGTTAAGTTTTAAATTGCAAAAAAGAAAAATATTAGATCATAGAATGTGAAGGGCAGTAGGATCACCAACTGGTTAAAACTAGTTAGTGCAAACTGAATGGTAGAAAGTGATTTTAAATTCACAGAGACCTTGTGACCATTTAGCTGCTTTCACCTTATAAATTAAGGCTTTAGACGTCACGATTGTGTACCTTTTAAAGTATCATTTGTGTGTAGAGTTAGTCATATCTATAGGCAACCCTTTGTCAAGGATGCACAATTTGTCATGAAGCAGCCCACGGATTAACAGAAACGAAGGTTCGTCAAATCAGATCTCGTAAACTGCAAAACATATTGATTAAAAGTACCTGATAGTGAAATTGACGTGTTAGAATATAATGGTTAATATTATCACTTCAACATGGTTTGGTGATTTCACCCAAAAAGAGGTCATAAAAGAGTTTAACAAGTGGGTTGGTAGTATTCTGATAACTTTAACAGAAAAAATACATTATGCTAATTTTGTATACATTTTGAAAGCGACGCAATCTAATTTCTGAGCCTCCCACTAGACAAAATTTGATCAATAACAGCTGAATAAGAAACCAAAACCGGAATGTGCAGCATGCAACTTGTACAAAGAAGCAGCATCTTCGAGTCTCCCTGATGAGAAATTCCCATTCGGGAACTCCTCTTTGGCTCAATTTTAACACCTATAGCAACCGCTGCTGACACAAACTCGCATAATTACAAAATTCCCAACGACAAAATAATAAACCCCATGAAAATATTATGAGCCTGAATCAAACGACGACTTACGAAATTCACTTGGAAGCCGATCAATGAAAGAAATCCAAATTCACGTTAATAAATCATTATATTAGTGTTAATCACAGCACTTTCGGTTAGTACACAAATGTACTAAAACTCACGGCTCGAATTGTTCCGAGGGTCGTTAGGGGCTAGAAACAAGTAATAAGATGACTATTGATTGTCTAATCTGCGAACAAAACCATGCAAATCAACTGAAAGTAAATAGTGTGCAAGTGTGTGTAATAACTAATTTCAGATCCATAATCCTGTAGTTTTATTTGGAATTCAAGGCGAAACATTCCTTCCATTGTTAAGACATTTTCAAGGTTTAAAATGACCATCTATATGCTGCCTTGGAGGAAGACATGGGCAATACTATTTATAAATCAAGAGACAGGTTAAATATTTGTTCCAAAATGGGATTGAATGTAAACGGAACGATATGATTGGCAAATTTTTTAAGGGAAATACAAATCTTTAGGTGCTTAGACAATTAGAACCATTTGATAACCAAAACTAAGGAGACATGACGTAGAATAATTTTAAAGCAACCGAAATTTCTCATTGTGGCATAATTATGAAAACACGAAGATTAATTAGAAACAGTTATCATTTCAAAATTGCATACTCCCACACATTTAGAAGAAAGCGAACCAGAATTATTCACCCACATCAATAAAAATATTTTATGCATTTTGTCAGCAAAAACCTTTAATGACAAAAAACACGGATTCCGATGAGTAAGTAAGTTAGCTTTTTACCTTATAATAAACGGGATAGTAAAATAAATAGACCCTTAAACAACACTATTGATTTCAGAGCTAAGAGGAAATTCTTCATTTCCAGTCAGGCGATTCAAAAGATAAAGGAAAACTTTCACTCAAAGAAAGTAACACCAATTAGGAAGTAATTGAAGAGCAATAAATAAAAAGTAAATTTTTTGGTCATTAAGTAAAATTATGAGGAAGAAAGTGTACTGACTTAAATCTAAAATAGAGTAATAATAAAACTAAATTTTGAAATAATTTGTCTTATCAACTTACGACCAAATGTTCCGGGGAGGGGCGGTGGACCGGAATTAGGTTGAAGGGGAGGATAAGGTCCGTAAGAATCATATGGCCCAGCAGAGACCGCGGAAACATTTTGAGAAACGATTTGTGGTTGACTGGAACCAACGTTGTCAAACAACTAAGAAACAATAAGTGACTCAAGGATCGAAATTCATCGCTTACCAATTTGTTAAAGCATTCCAACCATGCCCTAAAAATAATGGAATACTATATAGGCCGTCATTACAATACTACATATAAGCATAAAATAAAGTTCATTACCCCATTTCAGTCTTGTTAATACATCTGAAAAATGTAACAGCCGTATCAGGATTAGATTCGTGCGGAATACCAAAGCTTCGATCAACGTCGGACTCGGTAAAAGATTGTGGTTTACGTGGAACTTGATTCAGAACTGCACCGAAGGCTAGAAACGCAGTAACGGCCTTTCGAAGAAGGGACAGTAATAAATAACCTCAAATTACTTTTATGTCGATGCTGCGAATAGGATATGGAGAATCAGCTGAATCTTGCCACTGAAAATCTCCATTGCTATTTAACTTAGCGTAAATTGGGCGAAACGATTTATTTTCTTCAGACCATATTTCAATATAGCCTTCTTTAACGACTGAAGTCATTGGTCAAATTAGCTTATTGACCTAATATTAATACTAATAACAAAAATGAAGGCAGCCTTCAATTATAGCGCGGCAAATATACCAATTACTTCACGGAAATTCAAGGACGTAATTGAGAGAAAGTCGTTGTTTCATGAAGTAAATATTCAACATATTAAATATTAGATTTTATTTATAATACTATTTGAAGCTGGTATAAGGCGAAAGCATTTATACAGATTATAATTATGTAGCTTTAAAAAATCGTCATATATTTAAAGTCTAATAGACTTGATACCTGTGATATAATTTTTACCAATTGAAACCGACTAACTATGCCATATTGATCTTATTTGGAGTCATATCTTATCCTGCCAGTACTTTATACTTTATTGTTGCTGGTCCTTCTTGCAAGATATATCAGTAATTAACACTATAACCAATTCGAATTTAATGAGTCCAGCTATCTTCAAGTGGGTACCTTAAAACCGGAGGTATAAATATGTCCTTTATCATCTTAAGGCATTATGTAAAGTGAAGGTTAGTTGAGCATCGAATTCTCTCCAGGAAGATCAATTTTATCATCGTTAAATAAATACCATATTTAGAAGTTATTTTAATAATTTAAATAGGATCAGTACGAAAAAAATATATTGCGAACATATTGATAAATCTTTATAGTCAATGTTAGTTTTATAATGTAGTTATGCTGCACAAACACCTCTCGCTCGTATAGCAATTCCTGACTCATTCACTAGAATTATCGATACTTTCAAGAACATTATTTTTTGAAAGTAAAGCTCAATAGTTCTGTGTCCATCTTTCACATGGTAGTTAAGAAGTGCAGTAGCTGGATGCATTTAATTCTTTTTCAAATGGATAATTTTGGGAATGACGTTCAAAGTGGATGAATGATCAATAAACAAAGATTACATTGAGGAAAACCTTTTGGACTATTCGTAATAGTGTGTATTTCTTGCCCTCTATTCGACTTTAAATATTATTCTTAAGGGATTAATGAATAGCAGACGTGCTACAGTGAAACCATTGTAGACATTTTCTATTACCCATGTTAAGACTCTCTGTTACTCAGTTTCTTTAGACTTTTCAACGTCTTCTATATCGAAGGGAAGTTCTGAATGAAACAAGACGAAAATATAATTTAAGATGAATAGCTTAATTATTTTTAAGCATGTAGCTTAAAGGACGTTGACTTAGAAGCTCAAACCTGCTCATTGGATAGTGTGCCATTACACAACCGAAACAAGTTGTTAAGCGATTTCAATAATACAGATATCATAAATGACTATCTAGTGATTTCCACATTAACAAAGCAAAAAATTTGTAGTGAGTGTTTCATCGGATGTGAAAAATTTCACTAGCTCGGTTAGTGTGTCTGCTTAATATTATTCGGCTTTGACTAAATTGACTTTGAAATTTATACCCGATTAATAAATATGCATTCTAAAATAGATCTTGAAGAATACTCACATTATTTATGTCCACAGTTTGTTTAAATTGCCCTTATACAATATTCTTTCAGAAAACAATTAATATTATACTTATTGTTGATATTCGTCAAATTGATCGGAAAAAAATATTTTATCTTGTAGTCTCATAATACGCTAATTTATCTAACCTTAGATCAAATATCTTAATAGATAGGGTAATGGGGTAGTTCACTGAACAAAGTACTTATGATAAAGCATATGAAATATATTTCATATACTTACATCATGTATCGTGGCTTTAGAAATCAGTCCATCTGTATGAAAGACATGCATAAAGGAGAGAACAATAAGAACAATGCTTTTTCGTCGAGTGTTTACCATTAGCTCATCCGTTATATAGTATGGATTGATATTTATCCAGTGACGTAATAGCCACCACCCACTACTTAGATCTGATTAGCCAAAAGGATATCAAAATGAGGGAAATTCATCTTCCAATTCCGAATTCTTTTCCATAACGTACTAAAAGACTCCCTTTTAATAAGCGTGTCAGATAAATGATTATTGGGTTTTATTTCGCAACTTGAAAGATTTTGAAATATAAGTTAACAGCGTTTCAATGACAAAAGGTAATGATATATGTTCATGCATCATTAGGAAATTTCAAATAACACACCTAAAATGAAGTAAAATTAAACCAGTTATGTCATTTTTATTCAAGGGAAGAATTTTCCACTTAGCTCCCAATTTTGAAAGAAATTTGTGATAGGGTATTGTTTCCGAAATGAAAAGATCGTTTAATGGAAGACGGATTAATTAATTTCCCTAAATCTTAATGCGTTTAACCCCGAGACTGTTTATCTGCGTTCTCAAATAAGTTGTTGAACATGTAATGCTTAAGCGATGAAAGGTAGATTGGAAAAAAATTACTAAAAAAATATTAAATAGATGATCATCCATCCTTTCCACGACTGCATGAAGATACAACTTCAAAAGACAATCAGAAATTGTTTAGTATTAAACATAAAAACAGCCTTACAGCTCAGAATTCGTCTAATGTAATATATTCGCATCTAGTTTCTATCTAAATAGTAAACTAGATTCAATTTAGTCAAAAATCGATACGTTTAACTATTAGCAAATCATATAATTTAAACGCACGTCGAATTAATTTGCATTGATTTCCAAATTCATCGTCAGATTTTTCTCGTCATACGCGGATAAAAGATAAAAATTTTATTTTAAAGGGCTCTAAAATGGCTTCTATAAAATGCACAAATTTTTGCCTGCCATCTGTTAAAGCCCCTTATAAACAGTATTTTAAACCATGCATTCGTCCAAATTGGTCAGATAAACCAGGATTTTGGACTCCATGTGTTGTTACAGAAGTAAAATTTTAATTCGTCATCTCTATTTCCGTTAAGACTTGTTTTTCTATCATGGCGAGATCAATCTATTCCTCCCCAAAAACCCTGCATGAAGAAAGGGCCACGATTGAAGATCCGTGTGGCAAACGTTCTAAAGACAGAGACCTTTGTCCAGGAATTAAAGTATATCTAGAACCATGGAAAGAACAGAAAGGAATTGAAGAAGGCAAGAAATCTTTTTATCTACTGAAATAAATTACGTAGAAAATGATTTATTCTATTTTTCAACTAGCGGTTGAACGGTACATAGTATGCCCTTGCAAAGACGAACTGTTGGATGCGATTGATGATAAACCTGAGAGAGCGTTGGCATTTTTATTGGCTTATTTTAAAAGAAGAGGTCCGTTTGTAACGTGGCTTTATCGGGGCAGAGAATTCGGAAGTGCAATTGGAAGGTAGGATTTGAATTTTCAGGAGTATTTTCAAAGTGTGTGATGAAAGCTTTCTAGTAATTTTACTATTTTTACGTAGCTTGGCAAAAAAGTCATTTGAGTAAAAGGATTAGTTCAGGTATGCGTGAGCAAAGATCCCATTTCTATTAAAAATTATGGAATTTGGAACCTTAAATTATTCACCGAGAATCGTAATTTATGTATTCTTCGTATATATGAAACTTCAAGAGGTGAATATTTAAATTTTCTCTGTGCTATTTTAATGCGATTGATTTAAAAATAACGTAATAACTAGGTAATGCGGAGACAAGAAACCGATCGTGTTTTCCGAGGTGTTCAGAGAGATGTTGGTCACATTATCTTATCACCAGGCTATGAAGCTGCAATTTAACCATAGAAAAAATGACAAATCGTTATAAGGCTCCCAAAATTTAACGGCATTGCTGATTGGCCTACATGCTCTCCTTTAGATATCTTTCCAAGGCATTTATTTCACGTTTGCATACACTCCCAGAAGTTGATTTGTGTGCAGCTTTTGCAATTGGCCGTTACTTGAGCAACCTCTCTCGCATTGCCACCGACTATAAACTTATCAATTTTCGTAAAAATCTGGCCACTGTCTGGGGCCCAATTTATATGAGTGTCGAACCGGCACCAGATACTTCACCTCCCGTTAGAATGACAGAATGCGAGAAACATGCTGCTGCCATTGAAGTAAGTTACCATTATAAAAAATGTCATTCCTCCTGGACATTTTCTTTATGTTTACTAAGTATATCATTAATTTGATTTTATTTTTTTGCAGGTTACACCCTTATATATATAAGGAAATTTCATTTCTAAAATTTAAAGTCGCTTTTTCCTCATCTATTCTTAGACTAATTTGATATTTAATTGAAAATAATTGCCATTGTCGCAGACGCTATGTTATTTTTGCACTATTTTGCCATTTTTAGCATTCATATGTATGCAGGATGCAGATTTGTCAAATTTGTTGCTTTATCAATTTTAAATTGTCATTGTATCCCACCTTAAAGTAAACCTTTAACTTTTGGTAGTGATCAATTCATACTAAGATGTAACATTCCGTAAGGTTCCTCTGAACTTGATTGCTGTTATTAGAATAACAGTATACAAAGATTTATAGTCTATGTCAATAACAACCTGATAATTTCAGAGAGAGTGCGTATTCACAAAAATTGTTCCATATTTGTAAAGCATAGGTTACAACTGTGAGGAGGCCGATATGTAACGCATAGAGTCCTAATTCCCTGTATTACTAACTTTGGCAAATGCACAGACACGGTTATGTGGATAATAGTATCCGAGTGTCAAAATGCACATCACTTGGCTTTAAAGACGTATGGATGGTAACAATCAGCTCTAAAGCTTTATTTTCGTGAACTACAATAGACGAAAGTATTTGAAAAGTCATAGTTACAGTAATTTAACTTTCATCCAATCTATTTTTCTAGCTAATTTGGTAGCTGTCTAATCCTTCCACTTTAAAGTACAGTCGCTCTGCCTATTTTTATGATTTGGAATGACAAAATGACCTAGACACTCAAGACTGGCTATTATGATTAAGCCGTCAATTAGCGAATATCAGCTTAGAAGTGCAGTTGGCGCACCTCGTAATCTGACTCTTCTTATGTCGATTTTACTTTCAAAATCTTTCCATCAAGAGCAAATGAAGTATTACATCCGCGGAAACCGACGCAGCAGACATTTTATAAATCGAAATTTAAATAAAAAGCTAGATATTTTAATAACCACAATAAAGTGGATTTTCATTTTTTATTTCAGATTTTTGCCAAGGTGTTGGAGGCAGTCCCTTGGGAATCAACAAAGGATACCAAAAATGTGCCCCTTCAAGCACAGTATATGGCATATATGGATACTGTGTACGACACGACTAGTAGACTACGTGATGGGTGTCTCATGAAAATTTTAAATAAACAAACAAGTTGTAAAGGATCCCTTGAAGACAAACTTCGCCAAGAAGCTATGTTAGAATGCATGAAACCCGAAAACCAGGTACGGAAGGAAGGGAAGAGAGAAATTGTCAAATGTTGTACGCAATTAGTTCCATCAGATAAAACTAAACTTTCATGTCAAAGACCTTGTTAGGGCAAGGCGAACGCAAATGAAATAAAATGCCAACAAAGAGCAAAATAAAAAAAATCGGAATATTTATTTTCCAACTTGAAAGCTGAATTTAAAAAAAAAATAAAAAGGAGGAATTGGGCTGGTTCTTTGTTAGGAGTTGAAGTTCGTAGGTGAATTTTTAACTGTTCTGAACATTTTCGATCCCCACAATCAACAGTAAAGTGAATGGGACCCCAATTTGGAAAGCGGCCATTTTGACGAGAAAACCTCGCCTTAGATCGAGAAGAAATTTCACTAAATGCGGATATGAAGAGAGTAGAGAGAGAGGTATAATGTTTTATTAAGGCGAAAAAAGAATAGCTCTAAGACTGAAATTTAAAACACAAACGTTAGATAAAGGCGGCAAATATCCTTCTGGGCGTTGTTTGATTCACATGAAAAGTTATGAAAAACTGGTAACTGTAGAACGTAAGTGAAGAATGAAGTCAATACAGGTACTTCTCTTTGAAAATCTAGGCAAAACAATGGAATCATATTTATTTCAAATGATTTATTGAGATTCAAAGGTCCTTCTCGATTCACCTTAGTACCTCATGCATGACCGCGAGATGATACACATGAATCAAAATTTCATGATTAATCATTGATTAATTTACCTGGAATACATGATGTGATTATCGTAGACAAAGAGTCGTCAAGGAACACAAAGATTGAATCATAAAAATCAAGCATTAAAACATATGCGGAATATAGAAAGAACTACATTTCTAGACTACATTTCTATTACACTGCAATTGTTGACAATATTCCACTTTAAAAATTTGTCGAATTTACTCTCACTTTCCTATGGAAAAATTATAATCTGTGCATGATTGGGGTTAATAATAGCGCTTCCGTTATCGTTAGTTGGCGGTTATACTTAGACAGGATTAGTCTTGATAATAAAGACTTGCAATAGTTATATGCTGACTATACTTTCGTTCCTGTGGGGCTCATATGGGGTTGAAGTGGAAGATTCGCAAGCAAGTCCTGGCTATACCTTAATAATATTCACTACTAAAATAAACTCAACAGTATGGAGGAAAAAGAACATATGAATTGGCTAGCATTTGTTGCAAATATGACCACTGTCAGAACACGATCAACTTCGAATGAATATTTATATCAAATGGCAGGCGTTGTGATAGTTATTATTAGCCCTTTAGTTGACTTCAGACTTCACAGAGGGGAAGGAACATCAAAGTGAAAAAGTCGAGTTGGTTGGGGGAACAGAAGAGTTTCACAGATGTAAAAGATACAGACACAAAGGTAGAAAAAGGTGATGTGAGTACGGTGGAAGTAGTCGAATGTGACATACAGTAAGGTGATGGTAGTTTGAAGTCAGAAGTCAACTGCCGAATAATAGAACTTTTTGCCGTATGAGTTTACGTTACCCAGGGTACACCACGTGGAGGTAACTTTGAGTGAATATTAATCGTTGTTGGAGTGTGCGATAGACTTATCTCCACGTGGTGCATCCCGGGCAGC